TTGCATTAAAAATAAGCAGAACTGTTGGTGTTGTTGCCCGTCTTAGGCACTTCGCCCCATGTACAACCCTTTTAAATATTTACCAATCATTGATCTTGCCTCATCTGACATATGGTTTGGCGGCTTGGGGTCAAGCTGCCAAAACCCATTTAAAAAAAATCCTCGTGCTTCAATTACGAGCCCTTCGTTTGATGTACTTTTCTGAACCTAGAGCCCATGCTGTGCCTTTATTTATTTCCTCGAAAATTCTACCCTTACAAATGTTATATGCTGAAAAAGTATCTTCTATAATGCTTGACGTTTCCTGCATGAATGCTCCGTCTAACATCTGTGATTTCTTCACTAAAGCTAATTCAAAGCACAGGCATGAGACCAGGTCTTCTTCATCTGGAAATTATAATGTTCAAACTTCAAGACTGAATCTAAATCAAGATTCTTTTTCCAGGTTTGGAGCTAAACTTTGGAACGCAATTCCTAACGAATTTCGTCAACTCTCCAAAGGAGCTTTTAAGAGAAATTTTCATGACTTTTTGCTCTCGATAATGGAAGCAGAGGACGATTATGTTGAAGTGCCCATTCTCCTACAAAAAATGGCAAATTCTGCATCCTCGACTCAATGTATATAATTGATAGTTCTGTTAGTAGTAAATTTGATTGTAATATCATTCTGAAAGACTATATATTTTGTAACTTTAGCTTGTTTTTTTTTTCTCAGTAGTTCTTATTTATCCAGATAGTTTATTTAGTTACTTTACAATTATTATATTATCTGTTACAACTGCTGTAACCTTTCCTCTCCACCCGCCTCGTCTAGCTTTTGCTATTTGCGGGTGGAGATGGCAAAATGATTTGCATGAAATAACTATACACACATAAACATTTGCTTGTATAAAGAGAAAAACAAATAGCAAACACCTTCGATTGCTTTGTTTTGATCTAGGCACTCCACTGGGGTAAGCAGATAGTCCAAATGTCTGGAAGTGGTCCAGGATATATGCAAACCATCAAAGCAACACCATACATGCATATATTAATATATCATGTGCCATGTATGCTATGAAAGCATGGAAGTCTGAAGCAATTTAGCAGACAAGGTATAACAAACTTATTGCTTGTTGATTGAGATGACAAAGTCTTCATGTAATTTATAACATTGATTATAGGATAAAGATTGTAGGGAAAGTTCAACAAATATTTCATTCTGCAGAGGAAAAACTAATACAGATCCCTGTTATTCTTAGTTTTCAGGTGTTGAGAAGAAAAACGATGACCTTTGGAGGTACTTCCAATGGAAGATAAACCACTGGGATGCAGCAACACACCTGCTCCTTGTAGAAAAGCGACAAGAAGAGCTGAGGGGACAGGAGCGCAAGAAGCGAACTTACACAAAGCAAAAAAGCTTGTTTTGGCTGGAGGGAGTGAAGCAAGAGTCAGCAAAAAAAGGTTGTAAGGATTTCAACCATACCTCAAACATCAAGTTTCATTGCTGAACCTCAACCACTCAACCTAAGTGCGCTGAAAAAGGTGAAGACTACTGAACTTCTTGTTTTAGTCAATGAGACAACTGGCAGGCACATCAATGCAAGAACAAGGAAACAAGTCCTACTAGCTGCTCTGCTCAGTCCAAGGTCTGAGTAACCCTGGGTCAATTTGACTCAACCAACAAAAACGGCTCCTTTAGGAGCCACCAAATATCTAAAAGCAATGAGCCTGTGTTTATACCATTGGTCTCTCCTGAGTTTCTGTCCAAGCTTAACATAATGGGTGGAGGGTGAAGCACCCCTATAATAAAAATATTTTATTCCCTTTTCTCTCGACTCCAGTTTTTTAGTTAGCAAAAAGGCACCATGTAAATTGACGAGAATCCAAGTTATCTTAAGCCCGCATTCAAATGTAAAACACCCAATCACTATCCTTAACAAGTATTAAAAAGCATTTTATTTCACAACAGAAAACAAAATTAGAATTTAAATACTTAGATGGGCTTGTAGGGCATTCCTGAGTTGATAGGTTTTATCACCATTACTATAAGACATAACTTTTTCAAGGGTCTTTCCAAACGTTGAGAATGTCCACGTTTCAATTGCCATCGCCACCATCTTCTTTCTGATTTAAAATGAGCACGTGCAGACAATCTTAGCACACAACTGCTTGGTGGAAGTATTGTTGTTAGTCTTCGTAAGCTCGGGGCCTCTGAGTCCCTTTGTTTTGTGTGTTGTGTGAGAGCTGTGAGACATGTCATCTCAAGATCAGTTCATAACGGTAAAAAGTTCTTCATTTCCTAATTCGGACTCTTAGCAACTAGGCCACATTCTTGAGCTCAGCTTCAAACATAGAAAAGTTTTTCAGGATCACCAAACATTTCATTCTGCAGCTCACTTTCACTGACGGCCAAGTTACAAACTCTTTGGAGGAGCTGGGCGTGTACCTGGAAGGGCACTCAGCCCAGTCAGGTGATGTAAGTAAAATTTATTCATATCTATTTTAATAAATATGAATAACAAATCATTACTGTTACGAAAAATTGTCTAAGTAAAGTCCCAGAACATTCTAGAACCTGAAGTCATCTAGACATGACGTTCTAATAAAAGGAACATTCTGGAACGTTCTATTTCTTACATAATTGTTCAAATTTAGAAACCGTGTTAATCTACTAAATTTAGAAGTCAGCTACGCGGAAATAAAACAGTTTGTCGTTGTTACCAACGATCCTGAGTTTTGTCTAGGAACAACCCTGCTCTACATCGACACTCGTAACATTGGGGGCCTGTCCCGGGAGAGCAGAAACTTTTTTACTGGACTATCATAACTAGGAAAGGTACAGGACAAACTTGGCGGAGTGAAAATACCGTTCTGTGTGAACCGAACGTAAAAGAAGGTTTTATTGTTATCCTGTGTGGACATTTGTTGACTGTGTGTCATATGATATGGAGAAGTTTATCGAGTTAGGAAAAACATTTGGCCTGGAAGGAGCTGAGTTGCTTTCATTAGTGGAGAAACCTAGAGAGGAAGAACGTGAGGAGAAACAAAGAAAAGAAGAAGAAAAGAAGAAGAGAAGAAGAAGAGAAGGAAGAGAGACGTAGAAGGCAAGATGAGGAGAGGGAA